TTACCTGTTCCCCAGCTGACATACCCAAGGAAGACAGATGTTAAATCTTGCCCAAGAGCTAGCGACCTTGCACAGCTGGGAGTTAGACTCAGACGTGTCTGTCTTCAGGCTGGACGCCTCCAACCATTCCCACTCTAGGAATTATGCTGCCATTACATGTGGTCACCAGGGCTCCCCCTTTAGCCCTCCTGTATGCTCAGCACACTACATGTGGTCATCAGGGCTCCCCCTCCAGCCCTCCTGTATGCTCAGCAGTGTCGTAGGCCTTTCAGGGAGCACATGAGCATATAGGAAAAAAAGAGAGAGGGGAAAAAGCCCCAGCAAGTAAGACACAGTTTCAGGTGAGTGTAACTAACTTCACAAACCAAGTGTGACAGTCATTGACATAGCTTCTTGAGCCAGTCTTACTTGACGACCAGATGCCACCGAGGCCCCATTCCTCCTTGTCATCTTGAGTCCCTTACCTCTTCGCTGTCTCTTGTATCCCCACCCACTCCTTAGCCTCCTCCAAGTCCAGATCTGGAGAGCATAACTGGTGGGGATGAGAAGAGTCTTTGAGGTTATGACATCATGTCCTAGTTCCCTTGGCTCTAGGCTGAACTGATCTTTTACCTCCCTTTGCAGAGTCTACATTCTGCTTCTCCCCCACAGAAGCCAGGTCTTTTCTCCAGTTAAAACATCATGGACAGCTCTTCTCCCTGTATAGCAACGTAGACCTCTGTGTTCAGAGAATCTTCTGTAATTCCCCTTACACACCAACCTAAATGAGAGGGAGAAGATGCCGAATTGGAATCCATGTCAGAACGGGCAAAGGAGGAGGGCGATGACAGCATCAGAGGAAGGGATGGAGCCAGCCGCACTTTCTTGCAGTGGTTTCACACAACCGAGATCCAGCAGGCTGTTTCTGCTGTCCAGTAGAGATAAATACTTGTTTTTCTAGGGTTGAAGGTTATGGAAGGGGCTGTGTGGCTTTTATGTCTCCTTGCTGTGGTAGCAGCTCTAGGAGAAATTGCCAGCATACCATAGCTAGGCAGAATGAACAAGAGCACCTGTTGACTGGGGTCTTGCCATATTGTCAGGAAGAGGCTCTGTTTCCCACGGCTTCCGACCCTTCCTTTGCACGGAGTCTAGTCTTGAGGCCCCTACACTTTGACCTGACTGCTAACCCAATAACTCACTGGGGATTAGAGGAGAGAGGACACTGGGATGATGGCACTGGACTGGACAGGGGCCCATCAGTTCTTCACCACGGCCTTGTTTGAGCTACAGCATATATGCCAACAGGAAGTTACAACATTACATGTGACCATTCAACTCCATACTATTGTACAGTAATCCCATCTGTATTTTAGGCATCATGCTAGGTTGAGAACCTAGATATCTTGGAAAATGTTTATAAAATTAATTTATAACCCTCACTAGGTTTCTAAGAGTCCAAACCTATTTCAGAAAACAACTCTTGCTTTTGTAGTGTGCTTCATAGTTACAGTGAATGTCTCATACATTTTTTGGTTAAAATTTTCTGTGCCCTTAGGCAGAAAATTGCTTATGAAATTGTTCAAATAGAGCTGGCCTTCTGAAACAACCATATGATGGTAATTAATCTCAAGAGAGGATGTGAAAAATCACAGCACCTAGCATGTGACATCATGCTTGGGTTGTGGAACACGAAGGGGGGGGGCTCTCTTTGTCCTGGATGTGTACTTAGCTTCACTTTCCTCCTCAGCATTAGTCCCTATTTTGTAAGACTTTTATGTAGCTGAAACTACACACACACACACGCACGCACACACATACACACGCATACACACATATACAACTGCTTGCTGTGCTTGGGCTTCCAGGATTGCGCCGTGACAGGTATCTGAGTAAGGGACTGCCACAGTTGAATGTGGAGTATCCGTGGGAGACTCTGAGGGTTGTTATTGCTCGTTAGCTAGTGAAATGATTGGAAATGTACAAGTCTGTGCTTGTCAAGAAGCGTGAAAGGCTTGCTGACTCCGGAAGTCAGGTCCCTGTGGATAGAAGCAAACTGTGGGGATTGTTTCTTAGGTCTCTCATCATTTCAAACCAGACCTTGAAAGAGGAATGATAAGTAAGACTTTAACAAGTGGGTTGGACAACCACTATTTCTATCTCATGTTGTTGGCGGTCATTTTAATACTAAAGAGCGGAGTCACATGTTACAGCTGAGGAAGCCTGTCTTCTCTTCTTCCTGTGTCGTGTCATGTGGGCATCTATTGGTCACACATTCCTAACAGCTACTGTGCTGTGTGAATAACACAGATTTTCTTGAGAAATGCATATTTGCCGAAGTTTCAAAGATTGTGCAAGGGGTGTTGTGGGCGTGTTATGAGAGATGGAGGAAGTCACCTCACCAAGAATATGTGGAGAGTATGATCTAACTTCAGTGTAGTAAGTTATGTCTTCTGCAGGACTGGATTTTTTTTTTACTATTTTGCCCCTTACAGGCAACTTTTATAAACTGAAATCTTGCTAGATTTATTCCATCAACTCAGCTGAGTTATAGAACTTTACAGTTCTTAATGGAGGTGTGAACAATATTTTGCATTTTCAGTTTTTCCCATTTTCTAATTAAATGTGTAGTGCTGACATAAAAACGAAAAGATCATTACAGTTAGGATTATGGAAACATACACACATATACATATATACTTCATATGTGAGAATTGATCAAGTTTGTAAGATGATGTATTCTACGAAGATGAGGTTTGGGCTAGAGGACTAAATGTAGAAGAAAAACAAGTAAGCAGAAGCAGCAGCTTTTAGAGGCGCAGTTAAAGAGATCTTTTCATATGTAAGACCAAAGGGAAGTCAGGCAGGCGTCCTAATTTTAAAATATCTCAACTTCAACGCTATGAATGCGTACAACTTAAAAGGAAGTGACATACTATGAAAAATTATACAAATTATGTTAGTATTAATATCTGTGTAAACTTTTTAAAATCCTGAACTGGAAAAGTTAGTAAGAAAAACAAGATAAACACTCCTCAACCAAATGCAGGCAAGAAAGCGCAAAAGTAAGGCTATGGTTTTCAATAAACACAACCAATCTTACAAATGGGAGAATTACGAGTTCTATAGCATGAAGTTTTAGCTTAACATAATTAACAAATATTTTTAAAGTGATGCAGGGCGGTATTGGCACATGCCTTTAATCTCAGCCCTCAGGGAGGCAGGCAGACAGATCTCTGTGAGTTTGAGGCCAACCTGTTCTCTAGTGTGAGTTCCAAGACAGCCAGGGCTACACAGAGAAACCCTGTCCCAAAAAACAAACAAACAAAAAGTTGTCCTCATTTCCAGGAATGGACAGTGCTGTGTGCTATGGAGGTTCAAACTGGCACACCCTTCATGGAATATGTATGGCAGTGTTTATCACAAGGCTTAACTATGCATAGCTTTGTCCTTTAATTAAAAAAGAATCAGGATTGTGCTAAGAATTCATACAATATGAACACAATATTATTTAAAGCAATCCTATGATATTAGTAGCTTAAAATGACAAATTTTCACTGAACACTATAATAAGTAAAATCTAATGTGAGGTTCTCAGATTGCTTATAGGATCATGGACTGTCGTGCTAGCGTTCAAAGTCATTGTTTTGAAGATATGCAATAGGGGAAAATCTCTACCAGAAAATATATAAGAAAACATATAGAAAAGTGAAGACCCTTGAATGGATGGATGCATGGATGGATGCATGGATGCATGGATGGATAGGCCTATAATAGCAGTACTCAAGGCTGACAGAAAATACTCGTGCAAAATGGTGGGCTCAGAAATCCTTGGGGATCTTCAAGAGATGAAAATGTAGGTGGTTTGGCTTACTGCATTTCATTAAGTAAAAATAATGTACTAAAATGATCTAATATTAAAGTAATAATGTATTATCAACATGAAATACACTACTGATATAAAAAACACTTCACTTTCATCTACTTAAATATTAATCATTATGATAAGCTTCTTACTCTTCTTGAACAAACAGAGGTTTCATTCCTCTGCCGTTACAGGTACTGTTTTAGTTCTTAAAGACGCTGCTGGTGTACGTAAAAGGGAAAATCATTTGTCTAACATTCCAGCATGTGTGGAGAATGGAAGGATGGGAAAAGGAGAATCGACATTCAGTTTGTGTGTGTGTGTGTGTGTGTGTGTGAGTGTGTGCGTGCGCGCGCACACATGTGTGGGATAGAGTTGGGGAGGATGGGAAAAGGAGACTCGACATTCAGTGTGTGTGTGTGTGTGTGTGGGATGGAGTTGGGGAGGATGCTGTTCCCTGTAGTCTTACAATAGGGCACAGCTCTTAACTTTGATTTTGTTGTGAGATGAAGATACTCGATGATTTAGCCAACTTTGAGACAGACTGCAGGCACTGACCGTGTAGATGGCAAAACCATGGCTCTCCCTTGTTCAGGAAGGAATGCACCCACAAAAGCCTATGCTCAGTTCTGGGAAATCTACAGTGAGAGCCTCGGACTAGCTCATCTTGTTTCTAGAAGCTACCAACACTTAATGCTTAATATCTGAATTTGTTGTTATCTGATGGCTAAGTTCACTTTACATGGAATTTAGGATTTATTTATTTATTGGCTCATGAATATCAGTTTTCTTAGTGGCAGGATGCCAGCAAAGGAGCAGAGAGTCACATCTGCTTATCATCTACGCGGAATAAAAAACGAAGAAGGTTTTGACATAGGAGACTGAGTACCAGGAGCACATTGAGGACACATTCTTGGGGCCATTCTCTAACAGCCACCTAGGTTCTAAGACAGACAGGAAGCTTCTGGAAGTGGGCAATGCATAATAACTGCAAGCTGCTCCCCTGCCTACACTCCCAGGACGAAGCACACAGGTCCCCAGGACAGACACTGGCGCTCTGTGGCCAGCTGAGACGGACAGAGCTGTTACGGAGCTGTTTCGACCCCATCTGTGTGACAGCCCTTCTGGAAGGTCACAGGAGAGCGTCCCAGCCACTTACCATCACTGATGATTTCCAGGGAGGGCAGGAAGTACTTGTCACAGACGATAGACACGGCCATGAGCATGTAGACGATAATGAGGAAGTAGATTACTATGCCTCCGTCCGTGCTCTCCTGCCTCGTGAAGAACCCTGCAGGAAACTCCGATGCTGGGGAGGGCGCACACTGCGTGCTGTTTTCTACGAAGGAAGGAAAAGGAGAACATCGCAAGATGTTGGAGTCACACATCTCAAGTCCACAAAGACCGAAGTGGGTCTTTTGGTTGGAATATGGAGAAGCTGGTGGGAATGTGAAGTGTGACTCTGACAGTAAGCCTCACATAGTCCTTGGAAGACATTATTTCATGAAATGAGCTGGTCAGGGAGAATTAAAGGAAAGAATGCTTAGAGCGCTTCTGCGTGTTGCCTCTAAACGGTTCTTCTGAAACTGCCTGCGTCTCCAAGAAGAAACCAGAGCCCCCATGAATAAATATTTCTGGCCACTGGCCTCTGTCATTTTCTGTGTCAAGAGCCCAAGCTGTCCTCAGACCTCCAAAGAGTCATCCCCTGCTGCAGAGTTTCTAGGAGAGAACGCTCTGGTCATTTCTCCAACAAATAAACGTGCAGCGCAGTCTGCCCTGGTCTGTGAACTACCGCAGGAGAGTGGGGAGCACACACTGGCTTGTCAAGAAGCGGAGCAGAGCCAGGAAGCAGAACAGACAGAGCAGGAGTGAGGGCATTCCCCTCTCATATTCAGATGTGAGGCCGGGGTGTCTAACCCGCTGTCCACCTACCTGTGGCCCTTCGGAGGCGCTTGGGTAGGGAGACACCCCGGACAGGCAGGTGTGCGGAGACCCAGCAGATGCCCAGCAGCAGGACCCTTCTTCTCCAACTTGCGCCCCATTTTGTCTGCATTTCCAGCGTGCTCTTTGCAGTGTGTGGTTCAGGAAGGGAGCAACCGAGGCTTATGCTGAATCATGTGAGGAGTGGCCTTCCTGCCCAGTGCCTGCCCCGGGGGGTGGGGGGCACAGCTTAGGAGGCCAGCACAGGAGCCCAGCTCTTCTGATCAGAAGACCCAAGCCCCAGGGAGGTTGGAGGAGTTAGGGAGGGGCACAGACAAACGTCTACAGCTGTTTCCAGGCTGGGTCTCTGAGGGCAGGCCCAGAAAGTCTGTGTCTGTGTCCAGGATGGATCATATTTAATGTCTTCATACTGACTCTGCCTTTGACTTCCTCTAGGCTTGTGAGAATCTGGCTTTGGCTGACGCTGCAGCCCTTGCTTCGAGGAATTGTTTGGGCTGGCGTATGCATACCTCTTGGCTACCGTGGCATCTTTTGTGTTTTTATTTGGATCGCTCCATCTTCATCCGCAGTTAGAGCTAGAGGCAGAAAGGTCAAGAAGGAGGGGACTATAACAGCTGAAGTGAGAAATGAGGGCGGCATGAAAGAAGGCAGCAGCGGTGGGGATGGCGGGAAGCCCGCATGCCATGAACTATTAAGGAGACAGAATGGATGCTGTTTGATCATAGATCAGCTGTGCCTTTTTGCCAGAAGGAGCTGTATGAAACACTAATTGGACAAGGCAGCCAGCATTCAAATACACCCTGCAGCTTGCCAAGATCCTGGAAAACCTGTGGCAGAGGCACAACCTGTGGCTGATGGCAGAGGGCCTGGAGGAGACCTCACAAGTTAACTCTAGCAATGTTTATGAGCTGTGTGACCTAGGGCAAGGTAATTAACCTCTCTGTTCCTCCTTTCCACTCTCTGTAAAGCCTGTTTGGGCTGGGTGAGTACTGCATCACAAGTGCATGTAACCTGTTGAGGACAGTCTCTTTCGTGTGGTCAGTGTTCTGTCATCCTGTCACAGTCTGTCTGTCTGTCATGATTTCTTGGGTTGAGATAAAAGCTGTCACAGAGAAATCCTGTAGCTTTGCAACTGCCATGGTTCCTTTGCTTTGCACATAACATTGGTGTGGTGAGAGTGTACCATATACACGTATGCAATTATCAAATAGAAAATTCACTGAAAAAACTTCGAAAATCCATGTGCCAAGCCTTTGATGGAGAAACGGCTTCATCTGGTGAAGAGAGCAAACCGCCTCCCACTTCTCATGAGCTTGTGTTGTTTCAAAACACCCTGGCACGCTGTGGCTTTGCTGGGAGCCTTCCTGGTGTAAACTCTCTGCCCCTCAGCTCTCCGGATGTGCAATGTGGTGCTCAGGCTGGGGTGTCATCCAAATTTCGACGAGAAGGGTCCGTTCTCCACAAGTGCAACAGCAGCTGCCCGAGTGCTCACAGAAGCCGGACCAGGAAATAACGGGGGCGGGACCAGGAAATAATGGGGGCGGGGCCAAGGAAGCAGGCCACTAGGCCCTGGCTGGATGCCATTCATGATCTCCGAAACATACAAACCAGTTCATGCAACAAAGCCTCACTCACAGTTGGAGTGTCAGCGATAGCAGGAGCCCAGACACAGAGAGACCTTTCAGCGCTTGTCCACCAAGCTAAGAAAGGAAGCAAGTGCCAGAAGGTCCAAGCTCATGCATGACACAGAGCAGAAATTCATGGCACACAGTAGGCACACAGGGAACATTAACTGGTTGCTCAAACACTAATGATTCTTGGGGAAAGTCCCAGAAACGTGCAAGTGCCCAGTCTAAATAAAGTAACCTATTAAACGTGAATTTACCAAGAAAAAGGCACTGGAGCTTAGATTTGCTTTAGATCCTTATTACTGCCTTTGCATCGGTCTTAAGAATCTGTGAGCCCAAACAGATAAAGCCACATAAGTAAAGTGTACGGCTTCTGTTATAGTATTATATATGACAAAGACCTAGGTGAAGAAATAGAACTTGGCAGTCACCCCAAGTGCCCCTTCATGCGCCTAATGTGTGCTTTGCCAAAGAAACCACCCTCCTGACCTGTGCACTGGTTAGTGTGCGTGTATCTAGTCAGCAGTACCATGCCCACTGGGGACACCCCCAGGAAGCCACAGTCTAGTCTTGTCTCCCTCAATGCCCTCTATGTGCAGTTTGGGCTGCTGTCCCCCCCCCCCCTTCCCTTACAGCTTATCCAGCAGCCTCCCATTGTTCTTACTCCGGTATCCGTGTGCCATCCTTCAGGCTGCTCCTGTGTGTGTCCCTGCTGCAGGTGGGCAGCTGCATGCAGAGTCAACCTCACACCCACTCCCACTGTCCCAGTGGAGCAGAGATGGCGTGCTCGCGGGAAGCACACACACCACGTCTGCTGCTGTCTGTCTCTGCAGCGTGAGCAGCCCATTCGTGCTCATTTGTTAGATGCTGGAGTTCTTTGGAGTTTGCAAGAGGAGAAGGTTTCAAGATCCTGTAGCATTTTTCAGAGATGGCTCCTAATACCATCTGCTCTTTGTACCGAAAGCTGAGCAGTGAAAGATAAAGCATGCTCGAGTCTTTCCCGCCAGCCACTACTTCTCAAGGCCTTTATCTTCCTCCAAAATAGCTAGCCAGATTAAAATGATTTGAATTAACTAATTCGTTTAGAATTGATGGGCTCTGATCAACTGCATTGGTTACTCCTTTTGAAGACTGAGTTGTCTCGGCTAGGGGGAACCTCTTCAGCATGCCTCAGGAAAGTCCTGACATGGTCTCAACTGTGTTCGGTAGCTTCCCTTGTCAACTGGTAGAAAAAGATGTCCCAAGCTTACCTTAGAGATGGACCCTTTTCTCCAAAATGCTTTTTTACTTTTTCAATTGAACACATTTCAAGGTCAGGGGCTGGTGAGAGGGCCGGTGGTGATGCCTGACACCAACCCTGATCATCTGACTGTGATCCTGGGAACCATATGATGCAAGGAGAGGATGGACTCTTCCGGTTGTCCTCTGACTGCCACGTGTGCACCGTGACGCACGCATATGCACACCGACAAATACTGCAATTGAGACAATTTAAGAAGCACGGCAAGAGCGGGATCTAAGTGTATGTTGTTAGAGATGCTTATTGCTGCTTTGTTTCCAGTCTCTCTTCATTTTCCTTCTCTGTGTCTCTGTATGTATCTCTCTCACATGAAAACGCAAAGCCCTCTTTTTCTGTTGGTTTTTGGGACACAGGCTTCACTATGTAGCCTAGCCTGGCTCGTCATTTGCCATGTAGCCCAGACTGGCCGGGCACCCATGACCCTTCTGCCCTTTCTGACAACTCTGCTTTCTAATCATGACACCTCGCTTTGGGTTCACAACTAAAACTGTAAATCGAGTCTTTTCTGTTCTTATCTGTATGCCCCTTCTTTCATTTATATTATTTTTTTTATTGAGCTATATATTTTCCTTCACTCCCTTCCTCTCCACCTCTTCTTTCCCATGATCCCCATGCTCCCAATTTACTCAGGAGATCTTGTCTATTTCTACTCCCCATGAAGATTAGATCTATGCATGTCTCTCTTTGGATTTCTTCTTTCACAGACTTCTATAATTTCAGTAATTCTTAAAATAGATATTTGAGTACCCAGACTTCAAACTTGCTCACTGATGCTTTCTCTTTATCTCCTTCTCCATTCTCTTCCCCACACTCCCTTCTGTGTTTTCCTTTCAGATGAGGTCTCCCATGTAGCACAGGCTAGCCCACTCGCTCCCCTTCTGCCTCTGCCCTACTCTCCCAGTGTTGTGGTCCTGTTTTGTGACACACACTCATTTTGTTTACCTACCTTTCTCCTCTCTATTTTTCCTAAGATATCTTATGATAGCATCTGTTGTGTCTGTTTCTCTTGAGTTTCTTCTGGCTTGAGATTCATTTTTGAAGTCCTCCCCCACTTTTTACACCACCTCATTTCTGAGTTTTCCTCTATCACATTCTGGTTTATATTCATGTCCTTTGATTTCTTTTGTGTCTTGGAGTGCACACCCCACAGCTATGACTGTTCCAGGGCGTGCCTCTTACTAAGGCACTATTGCTTAGCTTCTATTCTCATACGTTTTGAGTGATTTTACCGGTTCTGATTTTTTTTACACAGGATTATTATTTTCCCCTAAACTTATAGAAGAATGTCTTTGTTCAGCCTGGCTTTTCTTAATTCATGGGACTCCCTCTTTCATTGTTTTCCTAGCGTGTTTATCTTGTTTAGAGAGGCCATCTACTGGAGCCCAGGCTTTCCTGGATCTTGCTGGGTAGCAGAGGATGTCTTTGGACTTTCGCTTCTTTTGCCTCCACCTCCCAGGTGCTAGGATTACAAAAATGAACCACATCTCCTGGTTTATGTTCCGAAGCTGGGTCCCCACCTAGCTGGGGGCACTGTTTGGAAAGGTTATGCAATCCCTATTGCTGGAGGATGTGCCTCATTGGATATGAGCTTCGAGTTTTTGTAGCCTGGTCCCCTTCCTGCCCCCTGCTTCCTGTGTGTGCATGTGGTGGGTGTGGCCTGCTAGCCCCTGTTTCTGCCATCCCTTCCCTGCAATTGTAATCCAAAGCAAAAGCCCTGTCCCTTAAAGTTCCTTTCTTTAGAGTATTTGATGACAGCCGCAGAAATGAACAATGCAAGACGTCACTGCATTTTGATCAGGTTGTAAAAGGGAAGGTCTTTTTTTTTTTCCCTTGGTAAGAAAGCTATCAGAATTCAGGCTCTCTGCTCATTGATCTGTTTTGTATAAAGGCTCTGGGCACCTCACATTTACTGATGTAGAAAACCACTATTTGTGCTTGGGCATCGAAGCCGACGGCTGCACGTTCATTAAGCAGGCGGTGCTGGTGTGTGTTGCTCAACACCCAGCTCTGAAAAGGAAAGGATTTCTCACTGCTCCTCAGTAGACATACGCGTGACTTTGAAAACTACTGGTGATTTGGTATTTACTTAGGCCAACTGAACCAAAATTTATAAGGGGCCCAGGCATAAAGCTCAAAGTGAAACCTCCAGGTGACATTAGAAGATGGAGAACTCCTGGGGTGGGCTTACCAATCCTTGCTTCATGTGTGATGAGAAATCTGTTCCCTAAAATCTGAGAGTGCATTCTCCACATGGCAGTCAGGATGAGAACAAGCCCTGCCTGGTGCCAGAGTACTCGAAAGAAGACTGTCTTGTGCTCCTTAGTGATGAGCATCGCCAGGGCAGGGCTTGTCTACTTGCCTTTCTGCAGCTGCTCGGCGTTCAGTCAGGTGCCCTGCAATTGTGGGGGAGCAAGTGAAGGGACAAATGAATTGGGCGATGCCCTCATTTCTCCCCGGGTTTCTCTAGAAAACATCCACAGGGCCTGTAGGAATACGTCAGGTCTTCCTGCCATTTATCTGACATAAAATGCCATCAGAGCTGTCTTTGAATTGTTGTCTGGGATGTCCCCTAACGCAGTGGCTCAGACAGCTCTTCAGCTCCACCTGCTGATGCATCAAGTAGGTGCTGGGCTTTGTGACGGAGAGCTGACTCCCACGGAGGAAAGGTAGCACGCTGGTCACCCCTGCTTTTAGTACCTGCTCACTAGTCTCTGAAACGAAGGTTCTCAGTGGCTGCCCTGTGACAATGAGGAATGAGCAAGGCAAAGGGAGGGGAGGTTATACCTATGTCTAAGCTAGATTCAGCTGGTTAATATCTCCTTTTGATTTCCTAACTTCTAGTTAGTTTAGATAATGCATCGTGTAAAAGGGCACATATTTCTTGTCGTTTGCTATTTAAACATGTGGATTCAAGACTCACATTTAATGTGCTGAGTGATTGTCACCATGTCATGCCCAGCCTGAGAAGACAGAGGTGGATCAGCCCTGAATGTAAGAGCACCGGTCCCTGGATCTTCACTGTCTCCACTGCTCCTTGCCTGAAGCTCTTTCTCTTGGATTTTTCTCTAGGAAGCAGCTTGGTTCCCAGGATGAATAGGAGCTTGGGATCCGACTTTTCAGGGTCTTTGATCCTTGTGGCATTGCTAGCTCAGGCCACAGCCCAAACTGGAAGGGAGCCAACATTT